AAACAGTTCTCAGCCTAAGACAGAGTTCACCCTCACACCCTTCGCTGTCAGTATTCACAAGGCTCAGTCCGGTCAGTCAGCTCACTTGGGTGGAGATAAGAACAAAACAGATTCTGATAGGCACACAGAAAGGCAAGCACTGCTACTAGAGCCAAATCAAGGACAAACCCCCCATCCCCTTAGGTGAAAGACATCCTCTGATTCCCCAGATTAGGGAAACAGCGTGTCTGGAGATTATCTCTGGCCTCTGAAGTTGATATTGGCATTGGTAGGCATATCTTTCTACATACTACAGAAACCAAATCCTTAGTTGCCTCAGAGAATTGCTGATATTCTTAAGTCTTTGCCCAGTGAGAACACTGTGGAGTAGTCAGTATAGTTCCTTTGGGTAGAGATGTTTCCTGTTGTAGAAAAACGAGTGGAATAGTGTACTCTGCCCCCTTTAATCCAGCCACTAAGACCATGAAGGCCTAGCCTGTGCACTACAGCCCATTTGGCACCAGCTGTTCAAATGTAAGGCAGTAATACCTAAAGCCAAACCTACAAAGAGGCAGCCAGTGTGCCAGCACCAGAATGGAGGGAAGGCTGCGGTTGTCCTTTATGATCAAATAGCAGTGCTTGCTGCCATTTGTGTGCCATCACATTCTCTTTATTACTGACCTTGTGCTCCCCTTGTCAGCCGTGGGGGCTACTCAACGTCTTCCCACATAAGTCACCTTCCAAATATGGTTCTAAATTTGGGGGTTTGTTTCTGAATCAGTAAAAAATGTCAGAGGAAAAAATAATTTCATTTCCAAAGTGTCCTCACTGCTGCTGCTGGTTTCTGCTTCTTTTGCTTTGCCTTGACTTCAGGGGCCAGTATATTCCTTGGTTTCTGGCTGCTTGCTTGGTTTGAGATCTGCGTTCTTCTTCAGCCTTTATCTAGTCCTTAACATCTGACCTGGCTTTTGACTCTGCCTCACATCCCTGCTGCCTTGTCTCTGGTCCTTGGTTCTGTTTTGACTATGAATTTCTTGGCATTCTGTGGGCCTGGTCTACTGCTAAGCCTCTTCTCACCAGCCTACCTCTCTAACCTGGCTACCCTTCTACCCTGTTTCTGCCCTGCGGCAGCCCACAGGTCCATGCAGTTCTTTTGGTCATCAAAGCAGCTTTGGTTACCAATGCCAACCACATTCATGTAGCCCTCTAGCCTGATTTGGGCTGGCTTCTCCAAGAATGCCCGGTGGTTCCCGAGGGACTCTGGGTTAGATGCTTTTTAAGTATGTGATGGCTTTTGGATTAAGAGCTTAGTAGCTATCTGGCTAGATGTTTGGTGCCACTCTTGGCCACTGAGCAGCCACAGTTCTTTCAGTTCTAGCAATACCCCACAGTGGGTCTGCTGCCTTTCTGAGTTTTATTAAAAGTGAAGGGAATTTTCTCTGGGGTTGCAGAATGAGTCACTAGGTTGGATGTTTACCTTCTTTGGCCTCCAAGTTTGTGAAGTGCCCATTCCCTTTGATTGTGTTAGCGGCCCCAGGGCCAAGCCTAGTCACTCTCCTTTCTCCGTCCTACCAGACCACTGACTGCCCTCCAGGGCCAAGGGCAGGATACTTGGTTGTTTGGACACGTCTTACGGCCTGCAAATTGGACAGATAGAATCAATACTCATGAACCTGGAGTGGCCCAGGTAGCACAGCTTAGTGACACTAGCTGCCTGGAGGGACAGCCTGCCATAGGAAGGGGTGTGATTGAATGATGATTGGACACAGCAGCTGAAGATTAACCAAATTATGTCCCTTTGAGTTTAGATCCACAAACCCTTCTCACATGGATTTTAAAACAAACCAACTTGTGCAGAATATAGAAGAGTGCCTTCTTACCACAGGGCTGTGCCAGCATGAGTCCTGGGAGTGGTCAGGTATAGATCTGGTGTCCACTTTGGTCCGGATTCATGTTATTATCACTAAGATTATTTGGACAAAGGGAAGAGAGTTCATATTTGTGGAACTTCTTCAGTGTGCCAGGCACTATGGAGTTTTACATATTTATTCATGACCTATAAGGGAGGTATCATTATCTCCATTATTCTGTCAAGGAAATGGGGTCTCAGAGGTAGTAACATGTCCAAGATCACAGTCAACAAATGATAGAGCTTTTGTTTGAACCCAGGTTTCTCTACTTACTATAAAATGATATGCTGTCTTCCCAGTTGTCTTCATTCATACTTCTCTTGACTTCCCCAGCCCAAAGGTTCAGGTATATAGAATGACAACTGATACTCATTGAGTACTTATTATACATCAGGTACTGTTCTAAGCACTTTACATAAATTAACACAGCCGTATGAGCAGGCTAGATACTCATATTATCTTAATAAATGAAATCACAAAATTATGATTTTCCAATTTCATCATTCCTTCTACATTTATTAGTTGTCATTCTTCAGTAAGAAAGAGCTTTCCCTTCTTCCCCATTAACTTCTTAATTTATTTTCAATATGTACTCATGGAATCTTCTTTTACTCAATGGTTTATAGTCCATTACTGTCGTTGCTCATGTTGATGTTCAGATTGTCCCAGATTTTAAAGCCAGTGTTCTTAACCTTTATTCTGTACTACTTCTCTATCAGATATTTTTTTTTATCACTGCCTTCAGTTAGTTTGTCTATTTATAAACCTTTTTGTACCTCTTGGCTTTTAATCTGAGAAACAGGAAGACTGATACCAATCCTATCCAAATTATGTGTAAACTAAGAGCAAGTAGTCTCCAAGTGAGAACCTGACAGACTTTGTTATGAATTAAATGAGTTTTAGACATGGACTTTAGTTGCTTAGAGACCCTCCTCATTTCTTACTGGGATCATAATCCATATCTGGAAAAATTACCCGTGAAAGGGAACTTTTAAGATCCTGTTAGGTAAAGTGGATAGACACAGATCACCTGACCATTTTAGACCAGATGCAGAAGAACCTCACGATGTGGGAGATGGATTCTAGTTCTTTGACTACTGATGAGGACACCATGTTTGTGTGCATGGGGGTTAGTGAAATTCATTCATCCATTCAGCAAATAATTGAGCCAGGTCCTGTGTTTGTAATGAAATTCAAACCAGGTGGTACAGGGAAAACCATCCACACTGTAGTTTAGCTTTTTAATAGTTATGATAATTAGAGGAATTTTTTGAAATGCTTGCCATTTATGCCTTCAAAAGCATTAACAATTTTGAAGGCCAGTAAGCAAAAGATTAACATACTAAGAGAAAAATGGGCAACAGACATCATTCATGAAAATAAAAACACAGTTGTCTATTATGGTTCTTGAAACAGGAAACACAACTGACTGTTAAACATATACTTTTTAAAATACAACTCCACTAGTAATCAAAGAAATGCAAGGTGAAACAGCAATATGATTCCATTTGCTGTTTACCAGGTTAATACACTATGAAAAAATTTAAAACACCCTATATTTTTGTGGAAGGAAGCACAACAGTTACTCTCATCCTTCTTCCTTTGCTAGTAAAAATAAAAATTGGTACAGTCTTCCTGAAATGCAATTTAGTAATATCAAAACCCTTAAAAATGCTTAGACTTTTGACCTAGAACTTAATCTCCTAGGAACTTATCCAAAGGAAATAATCAGATATGTCTTATTGTAATATTAAAAATAATTGAGTTGTTTTACCAGAGAGGATTGGCTAAATATAACATAGGAATGGTCTTACAGTGGGATACTGTGCAGTTATTAAAAACTGCGCGGTCATTAAAAACAATGTGGTTGACAAATATTTATTTAATACTTGGAAGGTATGTGTGTATATGTGTTTAGAAAGAGCTTGTGTATGATCTCATTTTTGTAGATAAAAAATGCATACATTGAAAAAATGGAAGGATGTTACATATTCTGAAACATTTCCTACTTCCTGATTATCTGTATTTTCTGAATTTTTTGTAATGAACACAGCCTTTTTTAATTAGGAAAAAAAAGAAAGTATTATCAGGAACATTACATAATAGAAAGGAAGCTGACATATACGGAGCACTTCCTAAGTCAAGCACTGTGCTAGTTGCTTTATAAATTTACCTAATTTAACCTCACAGGGACTCTGCGGAGGCTCCTGCCTCTGACCCTGTTCCCTTCAGTCCATTCTCACACAGCCAGTAGAGTGATTCTTCTAACAGCAAAGGTTTGGGAGGAAACACACCAAACTATAAATAGTGGTTATTCTTGGAACTTAGATTAATGAAATGGATCTAAGGGAAGACTTTCATTTTTTAATGTCAATGTGGTTTGCATTGTCTAAGTATGTGTATGTTTTAAGGGGGGAGGAAAAGGATGTTTTCATTGTCACTTCCCTTTTAAGCCCTTCAGTGGCTTACCTCATTTCCCACTGCTCTTCCCCTTATACTCCCTGCTCCAGCCTTATTTTCTGCAGATGAAACCATCTGCAGATGTACTCTTTTGCCTCCAGGATTTATAAATGCATTATATTCTCCCACTTCACCATCCTAGATCTCACTATTCAACCTTCAAGTCTTAAATACCTTAAATAACCACATCCTCTGGGTGGCCCTCTTGATTCCCTCCCTTGGTTTCTCAAGGCACATGGTACTTCTTCCATTGTAGCCTTTATCACACTTTGCTGTAATTTTATGCTCTATTGGTGTCCCTCTCAGAAGATTGTAAGCTCCATGAGGGCATGGACCCTAGCACCTAGAACAGTGACTGTAATATAGTAAGCACTTGACAAATAATTGTTGAGTAAACACTTTGTATTTTATAGTTGTGGAAACTAAGCCTTTGAGATGTGTTAAATAACTTGTCCAGAGCCTCAGCTAGTAAATTTTCAGAGCCAGTTTCCCTACCATTGTCTTTTACATTCACAGCGTTTATGTTCTTCCCAGCTGTACCACTCACAGGAGCAGAGGCAGATCCAATCTCCAAACATGCTTCAGAATCTGGGCCTCTACTTCCTCGGCCTTTCCTGCTTTTTACACTTTTTTCTTTCTGATTCCTTCCAGCGTGGTGCAGGTTCTGCTTGCTGCTGGTGCTGACCCAAACCTTGGGGATGATTTCAGCAGTGTTTACAAGACTGCCAAGGAGCAGGGAATCCATTCTTTGGAAGGTAAGCACAGGCTTCCCTGCTTGAGTATTTTCCTGTGTCTTCCAAGCAGGCTGGCCTTGCTTTTTGCCAGCTCTCCTAGCAACTCAAAGTGAGAACTTGCAAATCCCCTACCTTCTGGGAAGTCATGGATAACCCAAATGGCTTGGAACAGTTGCCCTTCACAGTCCCTTCTGGCTCTATAATTTATGTCATCTCAAAAGTCTTGGAGAATAAAATAAAGCCCTGACTTCATGACCTGGAGCAGGGTTGATGGGGGGAACCTTTAAACTGGTGTTCTCCCACAAGCTTCTCAGCCTTTGGAGCCTCAGATGAGTAGACAATGGAGCAGGTTTTCACAAAATAATTAAGGCAATTGCATGGAATGTAGATTTGTTCCTCTTCTACTTCCCGCAGACTTACCCTGCCCCAGAACTAGAATAGCCTAACAGGTTTCTGCAGCCTCAGAAGTCCCTTGGCACTGACCTAAATATTGCTTTTTTCCCCCCTCCTGTAGGTAAAAATACAGTCCTTTCTCTGGGGCTGGCCCCTCAACTTCCTGTTTGATCCAGGACAAATGGTGGGCCTCTCTGTGCCTTGATTTCTGTGCTTTGTGAAATGGAGTGGTCATCAGTGCCTCCCCATGGTGTTGCATGGGTGATTGTTGGGCTTCTTCAGAAGAAAGGGGGTGTGCATCTGTACTAGGAAGCTTAGTCCCTTGTCTGTTGGAGGACACCTGGGCACGTCTGTCCATATTGCCTCTGATGAGTAGTTCTTTGAAAGTGGGGTCTAAAAGAGGACAGGTTGCTGTGGCTTCAGAAAGAAATGAGTATTTTACATTTGAGCTTTTGCTTGTCCAACCTGGCCCCCTATCTCCCATTATCCTGTGTCTCTCACAGAGGCTGAGATTCCCCACAGTTTGCAGCAACAGAACAACTAAGTAGTGGTTGCTTTAGAGTTGGAATGATGACAAGAGGACTGGCAACTTTGCTGACTGCCTGAAGGTCAGAACATGGACCCAGAAGGAGGGTCACTCAAGGGGAGCAATGTGCTCAGCCCTCAGGGCTGTTGCTGAGGTTGCCAGACTGACATGGGTATGGTAGCCCAGAACAGAGGTGTAGTTGCTACCTCACTGATTCTTCTCAAAGCATGGCATGAGGGGAATGTCAAGAGCATCAGAGCACTGCTGCCCAGGTGAACTGTGAAGTTGCCCTCCCCTTGCCTCTCCACCTCCCTAAGCCTGCTCTTCCTGTCTGGCTCCTTGCTGCAGCTAGATCCTCCACAAAGCCTTTCCTCCCCTCTGCTGCTCTTTTGTATGTTTTCTAAATCTTGGCCCTTTATATGGTTATTTGAACTTTAATCTGCCCCATATGTCTTTTCTCTTCCCAGCTGATAGTTCTGTGTGCAGACCATGACATATGCCTCCTTAGATTCCCCACTGAGCTGGAGGGATTATGTTTACTTTGTGTTTCAAACAGAGGAGAATTCCATGAGTATCAAACTTGTCCTATATTTGCAGCCTGATATGTGGGGACTTACTCACTCAGACACAGCATTACTGCCCTAAGCTCTTTCTCCTGTTCAGATGCCCTCACCAAAAAGCATGGCGGAGCATTTGCTGAGAGGGTAGGGCCAGGTTACAAGGGAAGGGATTATTTGAGTGCCTTCTCATCTGCTCCTAGGATCCCAGCAGGGCTCAGGAAGCATTTTTGATTTCACAGAATCTCAGAGCTGTGAAGCTGTCTAGTCTAACCTTTGCTGTCATACCAGTCCCCACCTCCTGCATTCAAGTTTTGTGTCTTTGTTCTCCAGGTTGATGCTGATAGTCAACATTCTAGATTGGTATTTAGCAAATTCTTTCAGGAAATAGCCACATAATAACATTTTAAACTTTGTGGGCCAGTTGGTCTTGGTTGTGAACTCATGTTGGCTACTGTAGTGTGGAAGCAGCCATAGACAACACAAATGTGCATGGGAATGAACCAATAAAACTTTATTTACAAAACTAAGCAGCAGGCTAGATTTGGCCCATAGGCTATAGTTTGCTAACTCTTCTAGGTTTGTTTTCTTTTTTTTGTTCATTTTTCCTTTTCTTTTCTTTACTTATCTTCCTTCCTTCTTCCTTTATCTTTTTTTGGTTAGCTTTCTCTGAATTTGTTTTAACTCTTATGCTAGCCAGCCAATGTTCTAGGTGGGTAAGTCGATAGTAGGCAGATGGACAACAAAATATTGGAAAATGGTGTTATACTCCTTATGAAATAAGATAAAAATATTAAGTATCTCATTTTGTATGATCTGTAAATTTAATGAGTAGGCTTTCTATGGATTTGTTTGCTTAGTTATTCAGAAACATTTATTGATCACATTTCTATCTAACAGGCACTGTGATGGCACTGGTAAGTTAGACAAGATCTCTGCCATTGTGTACTTAATGTGCTAGTCTTTGATTTAAGTCTTTCTAAGGATTCTATGAAGTACAGAATACTGGAGCATATGATCGGGACATTTTGAAGCATTATTCATCATTCATGACTGTAAATTCACCAAACTTCATTCTGTTTTAGCCTCCATTTCTCATCTTGTCCACAATATTTTAAGAGATTTTCTCAGATTTCTTTCTAAAATAAAAACGTGTTTAGCATTTGTCATTTTCTTGCCCAGTAACCTTTTCCCAAAAAGATATTAAGATATTCTGGCATGGTCTTATCCTGTCCTTAGGGAATCCATACTCATGCCCAGCAATTGCCTAATTATTTAAAAACCATTAAAAAAATTGTAGAATCGTGTCAGGTATCATTGACAAGCTCACTGTTTGGTAACTTGGAAGATCAGCCTCTCCCTGCATGTTTTTTTTTTTTTCAGTTCCAGACTACCTCACCTGATTTTCCCTGACATATCAGTTCTGCTCTCCAACTTCATGTTTTCTAAGGCCTGGAAGAGTGACAGACCTTTAGAATCATCTTAGGGTTCTCTTCACTTCTTACCATTCTCAACTAAGCCTTTAGCTCCTTCTTAGCTATATTTTTCTTTCCTTTTTCCAAACATACTTTATTCTTTCATCCATTTAACTAATATTTAATGATCATCTATTGTATGAAAGGCTTTGTACTCAGCTCCTAGTCATTCTCATTAATGGAGTAGACAGAAACAAAAGAATCTTGTGGTTTCTTTTCTTTGAATGAAACTGACTTTTTCTTGGGCAGTTAACCTGACTTATAGGATATGTGCAGATGGTAGAAAGAATAAGAATGCAAGCCTTTTGCCCAAAGTGGGTCTAGCCAAATACACAGAAAAGTCACAAGCTCAGAAAAGTTGGCAGTCCTTCAGTATTGGAGCAGATCAGTGCCAAAGTTCATCAAGTTCACTACATTTCTAATAGATATTTCTGCAGGCTATGGCCTGTGCTCATTATTGAAAGGAGGTTGTGAGTTGCAGTTTGTGACCTTGACATGACCTTCCTAAACCCCAGTAATATATCCCTTGTCTACCTTATCAGTATTGTTGTGAACACCAAGAGATAAAGTATATGACGTGTGAATTGTAAAGTGCTCTACAGTTGTAATTGCTTATTAGTTTTATTTATTTGTAATTCAGCATGCGTTTACTGAGTGTCAGGCACACTACCAGATGCTGGAATACAGAAATGAATATATGTGGTCTAGCCCCTCAGCAGAGCTCCCAGTCAAGTTAGAAGACAAACCTGAGAGCAAGGCAGCATGGTGCAGAGTGCTGAGCATGAAGGTAGATGGTGAAAGGATGTAAGTAGCACTGCTGTAGGTAGTGATGGGCTCTACCTGTGGGCAGGCTGGGGTCTGGGAAGTGTCATAGGGTAAATGACTTTGAATTGGGTCTTAAGGATGAATGGCAGATTGCCAGGCAGAGTAAGAGGGATGGATCTTCCAGGCAGAAGGAACAACACATGCAAAGACATGGGGTAGGCAAGGGACAGCAGGTGGAATCATCTGCCTCAGTGCTGAGGAGAATAGCAAGAAGTAAGTCTTGAGAAGGAAGCAGGGTTCCACGTGGGAAGGACCTTGTAAGGCAGTTCTAGAGAGCACATACTGTTTTCTGAAGGCCATGAACGGATTTTAAGCAGAGGAATACTTCGTTTACATTTGCATTTGTAGTGGACCATTCTGACAGGTGGAGGATAAATTGGAGGGGAGCAATTAGCAGTGGCTCTTGACCTTTAGGGATGATGGACCCTTTGGAGAATTCGATGGGAATCTATGCTCCTCTCCCCCAAAATACACTTATTATTTCTGGGGATTCCTAAGAGATCTTTGGAAATGGAGGAAATAGATGTTAGAAAAATATTAGGAGGAGGTTGAGTAATCAGCAGAATGTGGGAATTGATAGAAAAGGAGACACTGGTGGTGACACCCCAATTTCTGATTTGGGTAAACAGTTGGATATCTGGGTCTGGAAGTTCAAAGAAGTCTGGCAGGAGACAGGGGTTTAGGAGTCACCCACCTTTGCTTGATAGTTAAAGCAATGCATGTGACTGAAACTGCCCAAGGAAAGGAGTTAAAGTGAGGGGATGAGAGGACAAGCCCCTCAGTCAGGGTTCCAGCATTCAAGGTGTGAGGTGGAAAGAGGGTCCACAGAGACCAGGAGATACTGGAGAAGTTTCCCTGTTTTCACTCATAGAAGCTATATATCTGTTCTGGCTGCTCAAAACAGGCACAGCCTAGAGAGGAAAGAAACTTCCATGCCCTCCTTGCTGAGACTTTGTCATCCTTTGCCGCATTCATAGTGAAACCATCTGGCTTACCATATGGCTATTGCTCCTCAGCAAGAAGCCTGCTCAGGGGGACACATTACAGTAACTCTCACCTTTGTCAAGGTTGGTGTTTCTGGCTAGAGGGTAGGTCTCCTGATTCAGGAGACACTGGGATGCTTGGAATAGAAACAGTGTTGGCCTGACATCCATTCTCCCCAGCCCTCAGAATGGCATCTTCAGAGGCACGGTAGTGTCATGGAGAAAGATCAGGCTTCAGTGCCAGGTACTCATGGTTCATCTA